TTGATTGCTAGATTTATCTATACTTTGTATATCCATATAAGTTCTTACCGAATCATTGGTCAATACATGAAACATGTCCCTAGAATTCCACAACCTGCTACGTTTGCCAGGTTCTGTAGCTTGTTGACGAACAATTTCCCATCCCATATATTGTAACAAATCATGCATCCAAACCTTGTTATCTGAGATTGTCAACAGAGACTTCTCAATGAGAACATCCATAACACTATGCGAACAAAAGCCCATATTGTCTAGTATTTCAACTACTTGATCTTTGCACTTTCCATTAAAGAAGCATGCGATATCAACGAAAACATTTTTCTCCTGCTCGTCTAATCCATCATAACTTATTTTAAGGGTATCCATAACATCTCCCTTGTAAACCTCCTTCAGTTTATACAATGCGCTGCTCCATGCATCTTGACCTCTTTTATACAAAAATGATCCCAGCACTTTAAGAGCTAATGGGAGTCCCTTGGCATAATTCAAGAAACTTATTGACAGATCTGTAAAAATTTTATCCGGATAATCTCTTTTAAAGGCTCTCCAGCTAAAAAGTTTAAGAGCATCATCTTCATTTAACTCCTGCACTTTAAATCTTCTTTCCACACCATGTGCAATTAGCAGTTGTTCATTTACAGTTGTAATAATGATTCTACTCCCTGGACCAAACCAATCTTGATTTCCGCATAATTTTTCTAACTGACTTATATGGTCCACATCATCAAGAATGAGAAGAACCTTCTTTTGGCTTAACTTATTAATTATGGCTTCTTCATGAATGCCCCCATCTTCTGTATCTCTATTCATAAGGCTCTTGGAAAGGCTTTTTTGTATACTGACTAGACCATTTGTCTCAGAATCCTCTCTAACACCGCGAAGAAAGCTTGCGACTTCATATTTGTGAAGAATTCTCTCGTAAAGCATCTGCACAATGGTTGTCTTACCTATTCCATTCATCCCCCATATACCTATATAGAGAACATCCTCTGACCCTGCATCTAAAAGCAAATCCAGTTGCTCCAATCTTGAATCAATTCCAACCAGCTTTTCTTGAGAGTCAGGATGTACTCTAGATAGTACGCATGCAACAATTTCTTTGATGAGCTGTGGTTCATCGCTACAAGGAAGAAAAGAAAGTGATAGCAATGTGATCGAATTTGAGTAAAAGAAATAGAAAAAGAAATGAAGTGAAGATGCTGCAAGAGTTAGTATGAGGCTATTGGATGAATTTTTGGTAAAATCAAGAATCCAAGATTTGAACGGGCAGAACAGGAAATAATTAAAGAGACGGGAAAGGTGAAAAAAAAGAAAAGCAAAATAAAATTCAAGAGTATATCAAGTAAATTGCACAATCTAACGAAAGAAAGAATTTAATATTACCAACTATCCTCTGAAATCCACCCAGTAATACTAGCCACTTTTTTTAAAGCAGCTCTCCATCGCACCACCTTCTCAGTGTCATTCGTAAACCTTTTTTCAAAGCCATCGAAGGCTGCCGCTAAAATCCCCCGTTGCATTTGTACAACAGAAGGAACCACATTATAGAAAATTGGTAGAACTGAACCTCTAGTTTGAGAGCATTCAAGAATTTTTGAAAGTTCATCCAAGCACCATGTTGAACTAGCGTAATTCTCAGAGATCACAACGATGGAAAATCTTGATTCTTCAATTGCAGATAAGAATTGTGCAGGAATCTCTTTTCCTCTTAGAAGTTCTGAGTCACGAGTGAAAGTCTTAATTCCTTGACGTAGCAGTGATTCATTTAAATGGGCTGTAAAACCCTTGTGGGTGTCTACACCCTTAAAACTCAAGAAGACATCATATTTACATGGACGAGCTGAAGGAAGAGGTGATGAACAGGATCTCTTTGTTGTCAATTCCATTTGGGACTAGTTTCTCGATTCTGCCAACGAACCAGAGATGGTGTCAAAGCAATCTGCTCGACAAAGTGCAATTATAAGAAGCAATTTTGCTGAGTCGCTTCAATCATTTTTGTTAGTAAAATCAAATAATCTTACCCACCAAAAAATAAAAATTGATCTGCAAAATTATACCAAGTAGCAAAAGTTGACCTAGTCTTCAATTTTATAATTTTGCTCATACATGAGACCTGGTGCTCTCAATATACTACGTCTTCAAATTGCAATCTCTCCGACTCTTAAAATTCCCCAAATGTTCAAAACCTAAAATTACATTAGCCAAATTTAGACTTCAGCCAACCCCTAGACTCAGAAAGGGCAGATTAAATACAAATGGGATAGATAGCTGTGAGCAAAATTAGAGAATAGAGAAGAACTCAACTTAAGCGACCAGAGAAACACAACCGCCTTGCTGGGATTCTAGTATGCAGATGTTCAAGTCAATGGGTGAGGAAGCGAGGCGGGGTCATATAAAAAACAGAAAAAACGAACATACTCGGGGCGCCTGTCTCATTCGGATCTAGAAGCCTCCTTCGATCTAGCGGACAAAACAAAACTATGGTCGAGGAAGCTACGTGCTTGTCTAACCTTTAATATACTTTAAAGAGTTAATCGTTTTATTAGTTTTGAACATAGATCCAATTTGTATTTGAGTCTTTTAATTTCCAAAATCATTCCGTAATCTTTCCACTTCAGTTTCGTCAGAACAAATGGTCCTATTGTCAATTTTTTTAAATTTTCTGTTAAATGCAAGGGCAAAATGATATTTTTGTATTAAATTGATTAAAATATATGAATAAAAAATTAAAATAAACTCTCTCTCTCCCCCTCTATTCCAATTTCTACTCCTCCCAAACTTTTTTTTTCTTTTTGGTTTTTTATTTGATTTTCTTTTATTGTTATTTCAAAGATATGATTTTTTATTCATTTTTTTGGTTTTAATATAAAAATACCATTTTGCCCCTACATTTAATAGAAAAAGTTAATAAAATTGACGACAAGACCATTTGTCTTAATGAAAGTGAAGTTAAAGAACCACGGGAATGATTTTGGAAATTGAGGGACTCAAATGCAAATCGGGTCTAAGTTCAAGGACTAATAAAACGATTAACCCTACTTTGAAATATAAGCTCTCTTCTTCACTGCGTATGCTCTCTTCTCTCATTGCGAATGATGCCAAAAAGAGTTCCGCTCGCAAGCTCCGTCTCATTGGCCATAAATAAGAAGCTGCCATCTTTCTAACTTACAATGAAATTTTTTTTTATCTTACTCACGTGTCACAATGTCATTGGAGATGTGGGGTGTCACTTACCTTCCACGTCATCAATACGAACATGAACGATTTTGATATGTACATGGTTACATCCATAGTCTAAAATATCGATAATAGCGACGAAATATAGAGGATATTATCGTTTTTTCGAATCACGGATATTTCGGAACGTATCCATACACATATTGTATATATATCAATAATATTGGAAAATATCGATATCGATAATTTCGCTCACACTTCAGCAATATTTTGTCAAAATATCGTTGTAATATCGCTATATTATTGAAAATATCGAAAATATCGATGTAATGAAAAAAAAACACTGAGCACACACACAAAGGGTATTCAAACCCTTGCCATTTCACTCCTCCAATGCCTTAACCACAATGCTGCTTATGTTTCTGTGATAATATGCTAAAATATGTAATTTATATTGTTTTGTTTTGAACAATTATATGCAAAACTATTTTGGGGGTTTATCATTTGATGACTACTCTTCACAATACACTTACTCTACATATAGAGATGATGATGATAGTGAAAAATTTGGTTATGGCCTTCTTGGCCCCATCTCACCAAAATAAAAAATAAAAAATAAAAAATTTGAACCTCATAAGAACTTTGTGTGTTACTAAGTCACTCATGTATTTTACCATGCAATGTATAAAGTGTAAAATATTGTAGTATATTATTATATATAAATGATTATGGTGTGTTTAATCTTCTTTTATTAATTATTACATATTTTCTAAACTCACAATGTTTGTTAGCTCTCTTTATAATCAACTTAACTCAGTTAACCCATCATGCAACGCATTTCCTTCCAATTTTTTGTGATAAACTAATAGATAATTGACTGAATAAACATTCTTCAAAGTTTCAATAAAAATTTCCAAGTTTTTTTTTATAATTTCCGTAGTTTTTATTTAATTTTTATCGATATCGATAATATCCTGATATTTCCATCGAAATTTTTGTATTTTTAGACTACCGATATTTTCGATACCATCGATATTTAAAACTTTGGTTACATCAAGGGCTAGTAATATAAGAAATATATATAAAACAAAGTTAAGCACGATGACGGAAGGTGATAATTTCGAAGATTTGATCAATTAAAAGGACAAAACATAAGTTGATCATATAAAAGGACAATACTTTCCCATCTCACTGACAGGCCAAATGGGCGAGGAAGCGAGGCGGGGTCATATAAACGGACAATATTATTATTATTTTTATACAAAAGTTTTTTATAATGGTGGATGAAGTCTCGAAATTATCACGTTTCTATGAAAAGCAGAAAAACTTTTCCATATTTTTTGGTAGCAAAAAACTTTTCCATATTTGCACCGGTTACATCAAAGCCCGTTATAAAAGAGGAACGGTTGTTTTTACTTGTAGGGTGTTGAATATTTTGTCGAACTGGGCTGCCGTTTGTTCTTAAAAAAATAAAAAATAGAAAAAGCCCCGTATTTAATTTTTTTTTTCTTCATAAAAACTGATAATTCATGGAAATAATAGTGCTAACAATGGTAATTTTTTTAGTTTGCGCTGCAGGCAGTGATGAAGAGGTTCTTTTCATTAACTGCTGCGCATTGGAGGGTTTCATGGCAATGATCCATTGACCATAACCCATCTATGGTCTAAGATATAAACGACCCCAGGAATTTGAGTTGACTTCCATGGCCGCTGAAGCAAACTCAAGTCCTTCTTCTTCTTCTTCTTCTTCTTCTTCTTCTTCTTCTTCTTGTAGAGACCGTAGATGGAAATATGATGTTTACCTCAGTTGCAGCGGCGACGACATGCCGAGGAGTTTCACAGACCCCTTAGATGTTGCTTTGACTGGGCAAGGAATTCGCACATTTAGATTTAGGAATGGTGAAGAATCTAATCCCCCAGTAATCTCCTTAAAGGCAATTGAAAATTCAAGATTTTCAATCGTCGTTCTTTCAAGAAAATACGCCCATTCAATTCGGTGCTTGAATGAGCTTGAGAAGATCGTTGAATGCAGGAAAGAGATGGGACATGCAGTTCTGGCGGTTTACTTCGATGTGGATCCAGCTGAGGTGCAAAAACAGGGCGGGAATTTGGAGCAAGTTGCCGAAGACCATATAAAGAAAGTGCCAAGTTGGAGTGCAGCTCTTCTTGTAGTACCCAATCTCCCTGGATGGCATGTACGAGATCGGTGAGTAATTCTATTCTTTGCGAAAAATATAGATTTTCTGCTATCTTTAGTATGGCCATTTGTTGCTGTAGGACAGACATTCATAATTTTGTTTCTAGCACTGGACTTGAAAAGGCAAATACTTTTAGGGAGATTCACTAATATACCAAATATAGGAGTCCAAATTATAAAAATACCCTATATGAAATGGACTTTAGAAACACACTCAAAGCCCATTTATAACATAATAGAAAGGCTTTTAACTTCTTTTAAATTACAAAACTAACATTGATTTCTCAAAACAAACCCAACCCCAAAACATATAAACAAGCCCAAAATACTCAATAGGACATCAAAGTAATTTAATAATCAAAATTAAATTCAATATGGCCAATTGTCATTTTTTGGGTTTTTTTTGGATTTGTTTATAGAAATTAAATGGTGTAGGGTTTATTTATAGTTTTAGTGCTAAGAATGGGTATTTGACTAAATATCTCGTACTTTTGTAACTGTTTTCACTATCTGCACTAGCAGTTCAATGAAGAAAGCTACAAAAAATACTTCTTTGTTGTGATTCTTACAGAGTCGTGAGATTAGTGTTTAATTTTTTATGCTTGTAGGTACAAAGCACAAAATATTGAACTAATCGTTAAAGTTTTACGGGCTGAATTGCATAGCTCGCTACCTATTTCTCCACACCAGTGGAATAGTAAATTGCTTGAGAAAAAGAAAAGTGATGCAGTCAAGATGATTATTCAAGGCCTAAATGACAACGAGAAGAGAATTTTTCTAGATATTGTTTGTTTCTTTAAAGGAATGGAGAAAAAGCGAGTAGAGGAAATCCTAGATTGTGATGGTTGTTGCCCGTGCATTGCAATAGAAGTCCTCATTGAGAATTCCCTCGTAACTATTCTAGACAATAAAGTGATGATGGATAGGTTCATACAAGAAACTGGGCAAGAAATTGTTAGTGCCGAGTCTCTTGGGGAGCGTGGTAAGCAAAGCAGGTTGTGGCTTACTGACGACATCCTTGATGTATTGGGGAACAATAAGGTAACTGGTTATGTAGAAAGACTAAGCATATATAGTAGCATTTCATTTTCTATACTCTGATTAACTTATCCAAATACTCTTGGTTAGTAGGGAACAGATGCAGTTGAAGGCATTGACATACACTTTCCTGAACTCAAAGAGGCACAATGGAACTCAGAGGCCTTCTCTAATATGCCTTGTCTTAGATTTCTCCGTATTCATGGTCTGTATATGACCGAAGGCCCCATACATCTATCTAATGCCTTAACGTTTCTCGAGTGGTTTGGGTATCCTGGAAAAGTTTTCCCACAAAGTTTTCAACCTGAGGAACTTCACGAACTGAATTTGTGCAGTAGCAAAATTGAACGGCTTTGGGCTGGAAAAATGGTTAGATTATGGAAACAAAACAAAAAGCTGTATACCAGTTATTTTATTTGAATAGTTACTAAGGTTTGTGTATCTCTCTTTTTTTTTTCTTTCTCAACAGTGCTTATATAAGTTGAAATTCATCAATGTTAGCTACTCCCGAGAGCTGTCTAGCACCCCCGACTTTTCAGGTACTCCGAATCTTCAGAGATTAGATTTTGAAGGTTGTCTGAATTTGGCGGAGATAGACCCATCCATTGCTCTGCTCAAAAGGCTTATATTCTTGAGTTTTAAAGAATGTACAAGTCTAGAACGTCTTCCATGTCCGATTGCAATGGAGTCCCTTGAAGTTTTTATTCTTTCTGGCTGTTCAAACATTAAGAAATTTCCAGAATTTGTGGTACCTATGGACCACTTGTTGGAACTTTATTTAGATAAGACAGCAATAGAAAAGTTACCTTTATCAATTGGACGCCTGACTGCCCTAACATTATTAAAACTAAAAGATTGCAAGAATCTCAGGTGTCTTCCAAGCAATATTCACAAGTTGAAGTCCCTCAAAATTCTCAATGTTTATGGATGCTCAAAACTTCGAAAGCTGCCAGAAAGCTTGGGGAGCATAAGTTGTCTGGAGCGGCTTGAGGCGGGTGGTACCTCCATAATCGATGTACCACCATCCATTTTCCTTCTGAAGAATCTTGAAGCTTTATCTCTTCGTGGATGTAAAGGGATTCTGCGATTGCAGTTGCCACCTGTATCTTCTTTGACACTACTGAATCTAAGTGACTGCAATCTTCAGCAGGGAACAATCCCAGCTGATATTGGTTGCTTAGCCTCATTAGTATCATTAGATCTTAGTAAAAACAATTTGGATAGAGTTCCCACAAGCACTAGTCAGCTTACTAAGCTTCAAGGTTTGAATGTGGGGAGTTGTAAGAATCTTGAGAGGATGCCAAAGCTATCATCATATATAGACTTCAGTGTTGGATCAGCTGGCCGCTCTTCACGTGAAAGGTTATCTTGTCCCTCGAATTTTTTCAGAATGGGGGACTCTTGCTTGAATTTTGTTAACTGCTCCAAATTGGTTGGCAATCAAGACTGCAACAATGCATTTACAATGCTAAGGAGGTTCCTTAAGGTCTTCTCCCTACCCCCGCTGTTCAATTCTCTCTCCCCTGTCTTTTATCTTCTCTCCTCCCTCTCACATATGTTTTTTAACTTTGCAGTTTGTGTGGTACAGGGAAACCCTTGTCCAGGAAAGAAGTTTGAAACTATAATACCTGGCAAAGAACTTCCTCAGTATTTCAGTGATCAACATGAGGGGTCTGTAGTAAGCATGAGCTTACCTCAGAATTGGTATACGGATAAGTGCATGGGATATGCTGTTTGTGCTGTTGTTGGTTTCCGTCGATATCGTCCAGCTAACTCGCTTGGTAAATTGAGGCATGAAGCGTTTGGAACTACACATGGTCTCGGCTGTGAAGTGAAGTGCAGTAAGTTGGATATACCTGGCTTGCATCCTTTCTTACGCTGCAGCCAAGAACTAAGCCAAATTGAGTCAGATCACCTTTGGTTCTCCTTTGTATCTTGTGAAAAGTTTAGTACAGAGTGGAAAAACTGCTGTCGTCACCCTGAATTTTCATTTCAACCCTATGGCGCTGGCTTAGTGGTGAAGAAGAGTGGGGTTCGTTTGATATATCAGCAAGATATTGAAGATAGGAAACTAACAATGACCCAATCTAGAGGCAGTGCCTCCCCTTGTGAGGTTGTTAATGTGTGGAATAATGATTTTAGTGGATCAGAATCTTTACAAGGTGCCATTGTTCAACAATCCAACAGTCTACAGGAAATTGGTGGAACAAATAACTCCAAGGTGGATGACGCAGCCTTAGACAACGTCCATTTATCAAAGAAATGTCGAAATTGATTTAGCTGGACTCTCTCTCTCTCTCTCTCTCTCATTCATTTGAACCCATCTTACAGAACTGATTGGAATTTTTTATTTTTATAATTCTTGATTCCCTCTGAGTGAAATACTGGAATGGTTTAGCCATCACAGTAATGATGTATCAGTCTGAGAATCCATGCCTACAATTTTTTTGTCCTAAGTAGTACAATTGTATAGGCATCGCCTGTGGGCTTCTTGCTTGTTCCCTGAATATTCAAATTTTAACCTGGATTGTCCAGATTCTGAACTTTCTGATCTTCTTATGTGCCAGTTGGATATTTTTCGCATGTTGATGCAGTTCTAACGTCTAGCTTAGGTGAATTCTGTTTGATCTCCTAAATGCCGTGTGCTGCCGTTTCCAGAGTGGCTGAGATGCCCTTAATAGGTGAATTCTGTTTGATCTCCTAAATGATACCAATAAGGCTTATGTAATCAGAACGGCTGCCTAGCTTTCAGACTCTCTGTTATATTGAGGGCATCTCAGACCACTCCCTACGAAAATAAGCATTTATTTATTTTTGAGTTAACTGCATAGAACTGCTAAATTTTGGGAGACCACCTGAAATTGGTACTCGATTCTTAAAGAACCTGCAAACTCATACTAAAGCTTAAAGAAAACCTACATATAGGATATCAGTTAACTAGTGCAGAGAGAAAATTGAACACAGGGTAAGGCTCAACTTGCCAAATGGGGTTAAGAGATTGCTTCAGTTTTACTTGTGATTGTTTCTTGTCTTTCTTTTTCTTTTCTTTTTATAGAAAAGATGGTATTTCATTAATCGCCTAAGGAAACAGTAGATGGTTAGAAACTAGCTTGTTAAGAGGCGGCCTCATTAAAACCTTCGCGGAGAACACAAATCCCCGGGGTAGGAAAGAGTACCACCCATGTTGCGGACTGATCGGTGCATAAATTACATATCATTTTGTACCCTTTTAACTTATGATTTGGTTATGTTTTTGAGTTAAACTTGTGCTTTTAATCCTTTTTGTGTTTATCTTTCAGTTCATTGAGCTTTAGGTAATAATGATGGCTTTAGAGAGCATAATTCATGCAATTCAAGCATGTTAGGGCCTAATTTGGATGAATGGATGAAGAGCTTAAAGACAAACTCATTTTGGCTACAGCCCCCTGCCAGTCCA